AGGTTAGGTAGTTAACACTCGGAAGCTTAGAAGGCTGAAAACCCTAATCAAGGGGTCTGAGTTGATCTAGTAAAGATGCTGAATTAATTATAGAACAAGCTCAAGTCATACATATGGGTTTGATGAAACCATTATATGGTCAAACTACTTGAACCAACACAAGTAATTTGGTTTAAGGCTAACCAAGAAATTTAAGTTGACTAACCATTATATGTTACATGAGATTGATCAAACCATTATCTAGCTCAAACTACCTCAAGAAAATAATGTAACTGGTTCAATTTAGTTGAGTCATGCTAGTGTACATTCTGGTACAAGGCACAAGAACTTTATGCCATGAAGTTTTTAGAAGACTACCAGAATCTTTGCTCAACAACTCTTGATGGATGTAAGATCCACATAATGATAATGAGAAGGAAGATTCCATCGAATTTCATGCTAAAACGGTTTAGGTCGACTTCAAGTGCTATAAATTGAAGAATTATACCATTTGAAGTCAAGAGATGATATTACTCGAAAGATGTTTACGCAACTTGCATGGAGAGAAATCAAGAACAAAACATCAGAAGCAAGTCTTGTGATCAATAATAACATACAGGTTTGATACAACAAGAGCTCATAAAAAACCAATCAAGCAAAAATTTAAATCTTTTGCTCGAGAGATGAGTTTCACCGGATTCTGATGTTATTATGTTGGTTAGTTTGTGGTGCAGATGAAGTTGCAACATAATTATCTTTACCATGTTCAACACGAATTATCGTTCTAACTTCATGGTTTGAATTCGGTCGAGCCAAATATCGTATTTAAATGAAACCATCAAAGCCTCAAACTATTGGAACACTGAACCCCCTTACTCCCATGGCGGAAAATTCCCACTGCTGCCTCCCGTAGGAGTCTGGGCCCAATTTTTATTATAATATACATATCATATAAACAAAATGAATTCGCACAAATCAAAAACTTTGTTGATAGATATGTAAAAATAAAAGAAAACATGTACTGAAAGTTATGTGCAAACTGAAGATGGCATTGCATTGACATACAACTATTTGCTTTGACGAATTTCCTAAATACATTCTTCTCTAACAAGTTCTTAATAACTACTATCTGAACAATTCCTTTGGACATTTTTGGGCATTTTAACTTTTTTTTTTCATTTATTTCTATCATCCAAAACAATACAAGAGTAGACTCATCTAAATTAATTTGCTAATAAGTCAGCTGCACTATATAAGAGCTTGACAGAGGGAAATTACAAAGGTTATGCCGTGGATCGAGGAGGAGAAGGCGGTCTTGGCACTTGGAGCTCAAATCTCCATTTGCAAACCGAAAGATTGAATCTTGATATGATCACAATATGAATCTAGGCTAAGTTTTGATGTGCGGGTTCCTCTGCATAAGTCGCAAAATGGTGTAATTAAAGCAAATAAACACCTGCAAATGGAACTGTTTGGATATTTGAAACCAAGTACTATAAGATGATGAAGAAAACTTGTTTTACCTTAATGAATTCAGGATTCAATGGTGGAAGTATTAACAATGTCTTCGCTGAATTCACCAAATATATTAGGGCAATCTTCCCAATTCCATTCTTCTCTTTTTTCCCAGTATCCACCTACATACCGATATGTCCCATCTTCACCATCTTTTTTAAACCACCGTGGTTTCCATCCATTGTCTTGTAATTTTCTCGACTACAAAATTTTGGAGTGTTGTGATGCATTGGTTAATCAACCCTCATAGAGATCCGAATATTTCCATGATAACATCATAAATGAAAATTGCAAAATGGGAGATTAGTTTAAGGACTACTTGACCATAATTACTTCGAAAGTCTAAAACAATTTTAATTAAGAAAAAAGATGAATCTTGGGAATAAATAAACACCAACCAAATTTTAGATTTAAAACATCCTAAAAAGGAGATGATGTACATTTCAAAGCAGAAATTGTCGCAGTTTTAGTATAATATCAACCATCTATTTTTACATTTCCAATGCATGAGTGGACACCAATTTGATCTAAAAAGGGGTTCATTTAGCAACATCAACTCTGGCAACATGTTTAGTTCAAATGACACTGCCTCTGATTATATAAGACATTAGAAGCCAGATATGTACTTGATAGGACCTTTTACATGCTTTGCTCTAGTGACAATGTCTTGTCGTTTTAAAAAGTTTAGGATCTAAGTGATATATTAAAAATATTATTACATACACATACATACATACATACATGCATACATAGAGCCAGCTTTATACGTGAACAGTAACCAAATAAGAGAATAAGAAAATGGCCAAATCACATGTGATTTTAAAATCAAGTGTAAAATCACAAATGATTCATGCGACGGGCCACACCGCCCACACACCTTTATGGTGACTGTTGGTGTAAAATCACATGTGATTTGCCCGTTTTCATGTTCATTTATTTAGTTAATGTTCTAGTTTGAACCATATATATATATAAACAATTTATTAGATCAACTCTCCTAGATGACTTTGTGCTTAACAAGGTACAAAAGTTTGTATTTCACATGTTTTTCCACATTTCATTGAGAGTATGTTGAAAGATCAAGTTGGAAGTCCCTATTTAGTTCTTGAGTCCTGCATCACATGCTCTCCTATCAGTTTATAGAGAAGCAACAACAGGATCTCATGGCTTGGTCAGCAAGCATAGTGTCTGTAAGTAATTTAACAGATTAGGAACATTTTCTTTTCCTGTATTTTTCCCTTGTTATTTCCTCCATATAGCAAATACTTATTTGTTAATTTACCTGGAATTCCGTCCCCTTTACCCAAAAAAAATCTTATTTGTTGCTATCTGTGATCATACCCTACTGGGATTTGGGTAAACCACATAAATATATGTGGCCACTTTGAGTGTGATTATGTCTTTTGTTTGACCATTCACAAGAATGATGATAAACATGTAGTGAACAGAGGTAAGAATAGTTAAGCTAAAGATCCACATACATAAAACAAAATTGCAGTAAGCATGAGATACTCACCATTCTCTGTCTTGTTTCCAGCCGTAGCTTCTCAGCATTTGCCATGTCATATTCACCATTCTCCAGATGCCTTTGGTCCGGTCTAAGTCTTGAATCCGTGGGTGGAAGCTTCTCCTGAATCCGTTATCAAACAAACCAGGATCAGTTACATGCACACATACAGAGGAAACGAACAACTCACAGAACACAATTTGAGTCAATGGGTAATCTCTACCTTCAGTCCTGGTGTCAACTCATTCAATGTGATAGCAAATGAAGTTAAATTGTATCGAGTGAGATTAACGGGAGGCATAGTCCTTCTCCACAATAAATTTTCATCAGACATATCCTTTGCCTTGCTAGTCCCCTCTCCGATTATGTAATACATGCTGTCGTCCCACTTCCCGAATAATGTGGCATGTTTTTTACCACTTGCATCTTCAACAAACCCATGTACCTGTTCAAAAGACAGGTCCAAATGTCATTTTGATTGATTAGCGTTTTATGTCAAAAACACAAAAGCACCAACTTATATCACTCTGCATTTCCATATAACATATAAACCAAACTTATTCCTATGTCATAGTATATCTCAGATAACAGTGTGAGACTAAATTTGGAACTGCGTAGATGAACTTCAAGCAATTCATCTAGCCCATGAAACATTTTGAGTTTTATGGGTCCTTTTATGACACAAATATGTGATTGTACGTTGACGTGAGTAAGATATGCAGATGGGACTTGCAAAAAAGAAATCAATAATGGAGAATGACCAAATAACATATCAAATAAGAAGGCTTGCATTTTCATAGGATTTGTCCAGGAAAAGTTGTAAAACAACGAATCTTTACTGATTTTGCGAATAGAATCCTATGAAATATATATTGTTGTTTGACAAGGTTTCTGTAGCATACACTTTCATCTCTACATCAACCATTCTCCGAATATTTACCTGGTGAGGATTCCTTTCAAGAATAGATTGTTCTTTAAACCTGAGCTTGCAAGAATACTCCCGATTGCCACGTATATGCATCAACCCATGATGATCGCAATAGACCTTTCCCAAAATAAGATTATAAATGCTGGTGGTGACCTGACAACAATACATACACAGATATTTGGATTGGATGAAACTAGGTAGAAACTTGTACAGTAAAAAGTAATTCAGACAGGAGATTTTTGCATTCCCATACCTTACTCCAATTGAAAACCTCACCATCATCAAATTCTAGGGTCAAAAGTCCAACAGGGTCAAGCTGAATTGATCTACCCCAAAATTTTGTTCTTATGTTGCTATCTCCCCAGAATTTCCATCCTCTACCTTCACAGTGGCAAGCTATCAGGGTGGGATGGTGACTAACCTGTCATGGTAATTGATAAAGATCATTACGAACAAATGTTGATTTTGAGAGACGATGGACATGAACACCAAATATTTCTTTTGTAATTGCATCTTAGTTAATAATGACTATTTAAATATGCCCTGTTCAGGTTCTAATGACAGGATATCTTTTGAGCAAGCTGAATAGCATATGTTTAAACATTAACATAACATGATTCAGCTAGAAAAACAAACCTTCTCAGAGAAGAAGCGAACTCCTTTCTCAGGATAGTCAGCTTCATAAGTTTCCCCTAATAAAGGATTAAATGGTTTACAATGCCGGCCTTCAGATGAAGCATACCCAGATACAGCAAATGCTGCAACATTCAAGAGTCTTTGGAGACTGTTTCCCTAGGACGGCAAGACAAGATCCCACAAGTGATTAAATTTCTATAACGTGACAGAAGTATAAGCATGCAAATCATAACCAATAGAGCAAGAAACAATTTACATGGTGAAGTATAAGATATACCTCTTTTCCATGCTGATATGCACGATCGAGAAGATAAGAGTACTCAAGATCCTCAAAACATTTTTGGAGAGATGAGATAGGCTCGTTGAAATATACAGGGAGACAGACTCGTGTGAGATCCTTTCCAACGTTGTCCTTAATCATAGACCACAGACTGACCCCCTTTTCTTTTTCAACCGGATCAGGAAGCTTCTTTCTTCTTTCAAATTGTAGTTGTCCAGACTTGTTTATTTCATCCATAACATTAGATTGGTTTTTTAAATCAGAAAACATGGACCCAGGACTCATACTTTGTCCCTGAAAATGATCTTCTGTGTCAAAAAAGTATGTGTCCTCGTCTTCTGAAGCTTCCTCAAGCTCTTGTTTCTCGACATCATCAGATGACTCAGTTGTACTCCATTCTGAATATTGATGAACTGATGTCAAGGTGTAAAGGACACCAAGAAGATAACAAAATATGAGAGAACTGAGGCAAAGATAGGATCACAAAGAGGACTTACCACTATATTTCCCACGTTGAATATCTGAGAACCCGTGTTGTGTCAATTGATACTCGCCTTCAGGTATCCCAGAGGCTTCGGTTTCAATATTAGCAGCCTGACAGATTCAGAAAATACTTGCTTTTAACGTAAATCAAGATTTCAGATCACTGAAAAGTTGCACAATTTATGTTCAGAAACCCATTTAGTTAACTACTTCAAAACACCAATAAGTGTAGGCTTCATGCTAGAACATGAGGTACTCAAGTAACCTAATGTGTGWAGTAAAAGTATGGATGAACTCTCCTGACAAGGTTTATAAGCAATGCAAAAATCTGTTTCCCTATAACCTCTTGCTAACCCAACCGAATCAGTAATAATTCGATATTAAAATTGTATGAGCATTTTGATCAGGGATATAATCCTACTTTTTCTGT